ACCTGTCGGGTTCTTTATGACTCTCAGGCAGTCCCCTCTTGGTATACCAGAAACGACAACTGCTTAGCACAAGGATGTCACTTTGAGTAGCACACCAGCAGACAGTAGCATCAAGGGGCCCACAGGACAGTTCAGCAGGCTAAAGCACCTGCTTAGGCAAGCGCAGGGACTGCAGGGACTGTGGTTGGATCCCTGGCACCACATGCCCTGCCAGCCCCACACCCAGGGTGGGCTGAGCCAGCCACAGAGTCCAGGCGGCCTGGATCCCCTGTGCCACGTGCTATGCAGGTCTCAGGTGCCAAGCTGGCCACCAAAACCAGGTGTGATGGTGCACGCCTGTAATCCCAGCGCTCGAGAGACTGAAAACAGGAGAATCGCTACAAGTCTGAGCTGTGTAGGGAGACCCTGTACCAAACAAACAAACAAATAAATGAATTTAAAAAAAAAAAGAAAAGAAAAGAAAATTGTTTAAAGTATGGGCTGGGTGCACCTGCAATCCCAGCATTCAGGAGGCTGAGGCAAGAAAATCATTGTGAGTTCAAGACCAGTCTGGGCTACAAAGTGAGCTCAAAGCCAGCCCAATGTGCACAGCGAGACCCTGCCTCAAAAAGACAAAAAATTGTTTACAATAATTTGCCCTCAAAATGCTGATTTTACCCTCAGAGGAAAATATTTAAGAGGGCCAGTCAGATAACTCAGTGGATTAAAGCCCCTGCTTAGGCAGAGGCAGGGACCAGGGTTTGAGTCCTGGAGTGTGGTGCTGGCCCTGACCCCAGGGCACGCTGAGCCGGCAACGGAGACCTGGCGTGGTGGCACGCCTGTAATCCCAGCGCTCGAGAGACTGAAAACAGGAGAATCGCTACAAGTCTGAGCTGTGTAGGGAGACCCTGAGGACCTCGTACTAAATACATTTTCTTTGAAGGAAAAAAATATTTAAAAGGGATTATGGTTTTAAAAAATAGAGAAATATAAGAAAAAGAAGGGACTAGTGGGCCGGGGAGATAGTTCAGTGGAATAAGCGCTTCCCTGGCAAGCGCAAGGGCCTGAGTTCAATCCCAGGTTCCACAAAAAAAAAAAAAAAAAGAAGGGACTAGAAGCAGGGATAGAGGAAGGAAGATCATGTAGACTTTGGGAAACTGGTGAAGAAGACAGGAAAGAAAGAGAGAAGGAAAAGATAAAAACAGGAACAGAGCAGAAGCAGAACAACAAAAATAGAAATAATGTTCACACTCATATAAACAACGAAGAAAAAAAAAAGTTCACTTCACCATGTGTCTGCTATTGCCGGTAGACAGAGTGACAGAGAGGCAGACGGAGCCCACAGCCGTGCGGACTAATCCCAGAAAGTGGCGGTGGGTGCCCTGCGGGCAGCCGGCTGCAGAGCACCTTGGGCAGCCTGCACGTCAGTGCCCCCGAAGTTGGGGCTTCTGCCGGCCTGAACCCTGCTCCCCGCCAGGTTGAATTCTCCATCTCGCCCTCACACTGAGCTGCGAGGTAGGTGCTCAGCTGGCTCCTCTCCAAGGTGGCTCCCAGCAGGGCTGTGCCCCCGTCACAAGGCTCCATCTTTACCCTCCACTTTGGAGCGAGGGTCTCTCCATACAACCATGAGGGAACATTTTGGGGCCATCTTTGGAAACAGGTCTGAGGCTGGGGTCACTGCTAGGTGATAGATTTTTTCAGGTGCCTGGTGCAGCAGAGAAACAGACAGAAGAAAAAAGGGACAGGGGCTTTATCATCTTGGAGGACAGGGAGAGAATCTGGGGAAGATGAGGGATTCTCTGGAGATGGACAAAGGGAGGCTGAGGCTTTCGGGGCCCTTTGCCAGGGGCGGGGTTTGGAGGGGATGTTAGGATACACCTGAGGGAGCTGCCTGGGGTCTTCCCTGAGGCGGCAGGAAGGGTGAAAGGAAACTGCACCCTGGGCTGAGTTGGAGAAGGAGCGGGAGGTGGTCCTGGGGAAGATGGGCTTTTGTTTTAAGGGCTTCAGCCACATTAGATGACCACTATGATGATTCAGCAATTCATACCAGGGCCAGAACCTGTCACTAAGTGCTCAGGGGACAGAGCTCTGCTGGGGACAGCACCCAGCAGCGGCAGGTCCTCCACCTAGAAGATCTGTGTCTCCCTAAGGAAAGGCACCCTTAAAAGGTCTCAGGAAAAAAAAAAAAAAAAATTCTCAGGGCCTGGAGCAGTGACACCCAGCTGAGGCAGGCTAGGCAGGAAGATCCCAAGTTTGAGGCCTGCCTGGGCAACTTAGCAAGACCCCTCCAAAAAAAAATAGATGAAAAGGGCAGTGGGGGGAGGTTGGTAGGGGATCAACTGCCGGCATGTGTGAGGTTCTGGGTTCGATCCTCAGCACTACAAGGAGGGGAAGGAAGAGAAAGAGACACGAGGAAAGGGAAGCCCTTGCCAAGTGAATAGAAACTCCGAGGAAGGCCGCCTGGGAGCGGACCTCCAAGGCAGCGGTGAAGCTCGGCCAGCAGCCCCCAGAGGGCACTGGGCCCTGCAGGGCCGGAGAGGCTGCAGGACGGCCCTTCCCACCCAGATAGGCTGTGGGTGCCATCGAGGTTGGGGCGGTGAATTCCTGTCCTGGCATCCTTCGCCTTGTACTCCCGAGTCACCTCAGCCCGTCCTGGTGCCTTTGAATGTTCGCTCTGAACATGGATGGAAAAGCCACATGGTGTGGGGAACAGCAATCGGGAGCTGCATATGCTCTGGGGTCACTGGCAGGTGGCTTCGGAACAGGGTCACAGGTGCACACGGATGACGCTTCCCTCCATTTCCTGACCCCTCCCTGCTGTGTATCCCTTCCCTGTGGCCAGCACATAGCATAACACAGTCACAGCTACATACTCCGTTGTGGTCTGAGGTCAGACCTCAGTGACCAGGGGCGACGGGCTGACTCCCCTGAGCATCCCAAGAAGGTGTCGTAGGCCCATGCCAGCTTCCCAGGTTTCGGCCAGTCTCGGGAACTCTGGCCTGTGGACACACGGCCTGTGGCTCCGTGATGTCCTCCATATCCCTCTGCATCTCTGCAGGCTTTGCTCATTCAGGGCAAGCAGGTACCCGCCCCAGGACTCCCGGGCTCCCTGCTCATAAGGCCGCATCATACAGAGGCCGCCTCAGCACTGACAACCAGGCCACCCTGTACCTGTCACGATGTGAAGTCCTGAGGCCAGAACTCCAGTGTCGAGACTCGTGGGAGGCAATCAGCCAGCAGTGCTTAGATGCCCACCCACGGTAGGCATGAGTGACCATCACTCTGTCGCCTGCCCAGGACACACCAGGAGCCTCCCCTGGGCAGGAAGAGCAGTGGCCAGGGTTTGCTGTCAGTGGAGCAGCAGGCACCAATGCTGCAGCAGGGATGCTCCAGGCCAGCCAGGTAGCTGGGATACAGGGTGGCACATACAGTGACAATGCACGGACGGACCACAGCCACAGGACAGGGTGACCATGGATCTGCTGGCTGCCGTGATGGGGCAGGTCCCCGCCCCCTCTTTTTGTAGTACCAGGAGTGGGTCCGGGAGGTGCTTCACCACTGAGCTCCCTCCCAGTCCCTTTTAGAACTTGGTTCGAATTTTGGGACCGTCTTGCTAAGTGGCTATGTAGCCCAGGTGGGCTCCAACTTGTGACCCCCTCCCTCAGCTTCCCAGAGTGTGGGCAAGAGGCCTGCCCCATTATGCCCAGCCCTTATCACACTTCAGCTTCTTGAGACCCGCATGAGATGAGGCACCAGGCACTGCTGCTGTGCGCTTTCTGTCTGAGCCATCTGTGTCTCCTGTTCCTACCTGCTTTCCTTGGGGACTTGTGCAGGTGCCTCATCTGCCGGCACATGTGGAGGCCTCTGGGCTTCTCCCTGGTGGCAGTTTGCCTCCCAGGGACACTGGAAACCAGTGCTGGGGTCCCTGACTGCAGCTGAAATTCTGACCCTGGGAGCTCAGGTAGACAAGAGATGGAGGAGAAACTCGACTTCCAGGGAGAAGCAGAGGTAAGGGTGGTAGAGCCACACATGGCCAGTGTCCAAGACTCGTGAGGAGGCTGGTGTCTCAGGGAGCCTGACCAGGATGGGGATCGGGGAGGGGTCAGCCAGGGCACTGTGGGGTCTTGACCAGCTTGAACCTGACCCAGGGAGGACAAGGTGGCCATGCTGGTCCCTCATGTGACCAATGGATAGTACCAGGCCTCTGTTGGCACCCTGGGCCCACAAAAACCCCTGGTGGCTGGGTGGACACCTGGACATCCACAGGGAGTGCCAAGCTGCAGGCCCCAGTGGCAGAAGAGCCTGGCCAATGGTAGGTAGAGATCTGGATGAGCCACCTGCTGTGCCTTCCCAGCTAGCCCAGGCCCAGCATGGTGGCCTCTACCCCTCCCTAAAGTTGGCAGGTTGGACCCCTGCCTGAGCCCATGTGAACTCCAGTGCCGGCTTATCTGCCACAGAGGCTCATGAGGAATGTGGGCCACCCAGGGAAGGGCTCACTTGACAGCCAAGCAGGAGGGGCATCTCTTCCTGGTGGGCTTCATTGTGGCCATGTCCTGTGGTGGTGCTGAAGGAGACACTGAACTAGGGGCCAGGCTGGGCACTTCTTACCTACCTACCCCTGGCCTTTTTGAGCTGGGCCCTTATCACATGGCATAGGCTGCAGGGAGGCCATAGTACGGGGCCTGAACTGGGGCCCTAGGGGTGTCCTGACCGATGCCACCCCCATGACCCTTGGGCCAAGCTCTCCCGGCTTCTCACCTGCCAGCACCCATAGGTGCTCCCAGTGCTCACTCAGGCCTCAGTCTAGGTGCAGCAAGACCAGACCATCTCCAGCTTGCCTCCATGACACAGGGTTCACTGTCACGCCAGGACACTTTGGGCTCAGGCTCCTTACATCCCACAGTCAGCTATGTGGGTTGGACTGGCTCATCTGCCTGCCTGGGTGGCTCCAGGGGGCGGGGCCCAGGCTAGCCTGGGCGGGGTGCCCAGGGAGGCTTAAAGAGCTCCAAGTCCCCACCCTGTGCCCCACACCAGGTCGGAGAGCTGAGCTCTACCATGGCCGAATCCGCCAAGCTGCAGCTGTTTGTAAAGGTTCTGGGGCCAGCTGGGCTGGGGGAGGAGCTGGGTGGTGGGTCTGAGCCCCTTCTCCTGCAGTGGGTGTTGGCAGACCCACTGAGCCCAGGCAAAGGGTGACAGTCCTGGGCAGTCACTCCAAGAAGGTGTGGGCAGCTCAGTCCTGCGCCAGCCGGCTCTCCTGGAGGACAGTCCCTTGGTGGGGAGGTGGCAGCCAGTACCAGGGCCAAGCATATCCCACTCTCAGGTCAGTGTCCACATCTGTGTTTGGGAGCTGCCAGGCCTTGGTCCCTTATCACCCCAGAGCTGGGAGAGCTGTGTACTCCCAGCCACAGTGCCCAGCTTGGGGGGCAAATCACTGAAAAAAACACCTGGCTAGGCCCTACAGCAGCCTACCGAGGGGCCTAGTGCCCCAGGGCTTGGCCTGTGCCCAAGCTCTGAGATAAGTCCCAGGAGGCAGTTCCCCACTGCCCACCCCCTCCCTTCCTCCAAGGCTCCAAGTCAAGGGCTCTCACTGAGTCCTGGGACAAGCTGAGCCCAGCTACGCCAGTCCCCCAGCAGCAAGAGGCAGGGGCCCACCCAGCCAGGCAGCAGGATTTCAAGATCTGCTCTCAGCCCCACTTGCCTGCTCTGCTTGCCCAGGCCAGTGAGGACGGAGAGAGCATTGGGCATTGTCCATCCTGCCAGCGGCTCTTCATGGTCCTCCTTCTCAAGGGGGTACCCTTCACCCTCACCACCGTGGACACGCGCAGGTGAGACCCAGCCTACCCCTAACCCCCCCTCCCCGCCCAATCACCTGGGGCTGCCACTTCCCTTCCACCTGGTGCCTACAGGGCGCTGGACGTGCTGAAGGACTTCGCGCCTGGCTCACAGCTGCCCATCCTGCTTTATGATGGGGATGCCAAGACCGACACGCTGCAGATTGAGGAATTCCTGGAGGAGACGCTGGGGCCGCCCAAGTGAGACACACGGGGGGGGGGGAACAGGTGGGGTCCCGGGAGGTAGCCTTAGGTCAGAGCCGGGACGTGGCACTAAGGGGGTGTGCGCAGAGGTCCAGCCAGGTCCCTCATGCCCACCACCTCACAGCTTCCCCAGCTTGGCGCCGCGGTACCGTGAGTCCAACATGGCTGGCAACGACGTCTTCCACAAGTTTTCCGCGTTCATCAAGAACCCCGCGCCCGCGCAGGACAACGGTGAGGCTCGGGCCGTGCGGGGCAGGGCGCGCTGGGATCCAGTCCTGCCCTAGCTCTGCCCAGGGCCCGTCCTGACCGTGCGTCGCCCCCAGCCCTGCACCAGCAGTTACTGCGCGCGCTCGCCAAGCTGGACAGCTACCTGCGCTCTCCGCTGGAGCACGAGCTGGCGCAGGATCCACAGCTGCCGGAGTCGCGCCGCCGCTTCCTGGACGGGGACCAGCTCACGCTGGCCGACTGCGGGCTGCTGCCCAAGCTGCACATAGTGGACGTGAGCACCGGCTGGGGCTGGCGGGGAGCGGGACGGGGCGAGGAGGCGGCGTGGGGCGAGGCCCTGACGGCCCGCGTCCCTGCAGACCGTGTGCGCGCACTTCCGCCGGGCGCCCATCCCAGCTGAGCTGCGCGCGGTGAGACGCTACCTGGACTGCGCGCTACAGGAGAAGGAATTCAAGTACACGTGTCCGCACCGCGCCGAGATCTTGGCCGCCTACCGGCCCGCCGTGCAACCCCGATAGCGCCTGTCCGCTCCCTTTATAAAGGCTCTCTGACCTCAATGAGCGTGTTCTGACATTCAGGGGCAAGAGGCCCGGGTTACTGCCACCTCGCGCCCACAGTGGCCGCTCAGGTCAAGATGACATCAATGAGGCTGCCGGGAGCCCAGGGGCAGGGCGCGGCACAGCCTCCCACGCGGAGCCCGCCAGAGGCCAGGGTGCCCAGCACAGAAGCCAGGAGGCGAGGCCCCGGTATCTGGGGGACTGGATTGGGCTCCCAAACCAGTCAGGCCGGGCAGGGCGGGGCTCACGGAATGTCCAGGCAGGGTGGGAATCAAAGCCCTTGAGTGTGGACAAGTGGGTGTGGTAGGCCCACATTCCTGGGCTGCAGGCTGCACCAGCCTCCTCCCAGCAGGGTCCCAAGGGCAGGAGTGGTCTGGGTCCTGCCAGGGCGGGGCCTAGAAGGGTGCAGCAGAGTTCCAAGCCCCGGGTGCCCTGGCCCTCCCTGCTGGGTGAGTCTGACCAGTCTGGAGCCTCCCCCAGGAGAGGGGAGCCCTGAGTGCCAGCTCACATCCTGGGCCCGCCCACTGCCCTCTCTCCCGGCTAATCCCAAACCAGAGCCTCCACCTGACAGCTATTTATTTGATGGCTAAGAAAGACAAGGGACCAGCAGCACAGCTGGGTGAGCCGTGGGGGTAGTGCTCTCTCCCATGCAGACTCCTTGAAAGGCCTGGTGTCTTGCCTTCCCTTCAGGGCTCATCAAAGTCCACGCCACCAGCTGGTTTCTTGCTGGGAGGAAAAAAAGAGGAGCAGTGTGGAGGGAGAGTGACAGAAGCGGCGGGTGGCCACACGGGCAGGGCCAGAGTGGCAGGTACCTCTTGAAGCCAGGGTTGATGAGAGACTCCCCTGGACACCGTCTCCTGACCCCAGCTCCAGGGCCGCCTCGCTGGGGATCCGGGTCTGGGGAAACAGGAAGGGGGATTCCTGGACTCAGGAGCACCCTGACACACCCCTCCACGTAGACAAGGCCTCTCTGGAGCTGGAGGCTAATGTGGGGTGCAAAGCTCCAGAGGAGAGGACAGAGCCAGCCCACCCCTGACTCACGTCTTACCTGGTAAGAAGAGTGGGGGCCCTGCCGGCCGGGGGCTCTTCCTGGGGCTGGTAGCTGTCTGTTCCACAGCTGGGGAGAAAGTGGAGGCACCACGCTCACTGCCAGGAGGGCAGCACACCTGGGCAGGGGCCAGCGAGGGTGCAGGCGCCTTGGGCCACCCTACCTGCCAGGCGCTGCTCCAGGTTGCACACTCGCCCTGCCAGACTCAGGGTCAGCGCCTGCAGCCTGGGGACTGCCTCAGGGCCGGGCACCTTGGAGAGGTCAAAGGTCAGCGTCGAAGGCGGTCCAGAGAGGGTCAGGGACGCGCTGTCCTCCCGCAGGCTGAAGGCAACGGCTTGCTGCTGGCAGGCGATCCTGGGGAGCCAGCTGGGTGCTCGTCCCCTGGGCCCGGCCGCCCGTCCCCGCTCTCCCATCCCACCCCATCTCCTTGGGCCAGGGCTCACCTGAACCGCGCGGCGAGGTCCTCGTCCGCACCCAGGCCGCCGCGGGCTCTCTGCGGGCACAGCCCCCCCCCCCCGTCAGTAGCCGTCCGGGGCCCAACGCCCGCGGGGTCGTCCCAAACCCTCGCGCCCCCGGACGCCCGAGACCCCGGGCGGGTACGCACGCGCGCAGCCTCGCTGTCAGGCGGAACGTTGGCGCTCCAGAGCTCCACACCGTTCGTCACGCTGGGGATAGGGGGCGTCAAGCGCAGCCGCTGCGGTGCGCGCCCATCCCACCCGGACCCCACTCACTCACTGGAGGTGGAAGACACCTTGGTCCCCAGTTTCTGGCTCGCAGTAGCACACGAAGCGGGGAGGCTCCGGGCCGGGAGGCAGGGTGCATAGCGGCGGCGACAGTGGCGGCGGAGGCGGGACCATGATGACAGCTCCGCGCGCGGGCCCGAGTCCCCCGCCAGGCCCAGCGCGCCTGCGCAGAAGGCCGACCCGGGCCGGGGCGGGCGGGACGTGGGCTTAGGGCGCCTGCGCGGGACCGGG